TTTTTAACTATATAGTACATGGTAGATATCATTTAGAAATCTTAACCACACAACTGAAACCCAAGTGGCTACTTCTCATAGGGTGCCTGCAAGGAAATCACCTCCCATCTCGTTTTGCTGAGGATTCCTTTCATTAATGGGTGGCCACCTCCTATGTACCAGGAGAATCCTAACTTTCAAGTTATCCTGTTCCTCCCTAGGGAGCTTCCCCTGCTAGATGGTCTTTCATCACATGGAGCGCTCCTCCTATAACTCCCCTCCAATGGTTTAATTCTGCCTCAAGATCAAATACAGACAAACCTTCTCTTTCAAATAAGTCCAAATGGCCATCTTCCCAAGACTTCTCTAGTACAATGAAATCTGGGAAAGCAAATGATACTCCCAAGAAGACAAAGCCCCTGGTGTGGTCAAGTATAGAGTCTAATTTGCTTATGACTTTACTTCATCCTACATATTCTGATGAATTCTTTCTGCTTACTCTTTAAGGGCCCACACAAATTGCTTCAACATCCCATGCAAAGCTCTGCTGGGTCTGCTCCTGTCTTCTCAGCCCATCTTCTGCTTCCTCCTACTACCCTTGACTTACACTGGGTTTCCTTTTAACTTCCTCAGAACAGGAAGCCTGTTATCGGCTGAAGCCTTTCTGCACCATTCTTTCTCCTTGCTGGAAAGTTACTCCTCTTCATTGTTTGGAGAGCTCCCAGTCACTCTAGACACTCCCTAAACCTAAACTATTAGGACTGCATTACTTGTTCTCACAGCATCATGTGTTTTTATATCCCCTTTCTTGAGAGCTTGTTTGGAGGTTCTAGAAGGGGAGCGCAGCTACTCGTATACCCTTGACCGAAGACCGGTCCTCCTCTAGAGGGGAAGGTTGTTCTTGTCAACTGAGTATGCAGCTTCGGAAGGGACGCACATGGAGCAGTGAGGGAGGGAGGGGACACCTGCCTACCCATCCGGATCAGCCGAATCAACCCTGGCGATCAATGGAGTGACAGATGTGGTAGTCAGATGGCCTTAACATCCTATGTTTATCACAATCACATCCTATATTTACCACAATCACAGGTAAGAATTTGGATGAGCATGTTTCACTCCTTGTTATAGTTTGAATTGTGTTCACCAAAAAGATATGTTGAAATCCTAAACTGGGTATCCTACTTGGTGACCTTAGTTGGAAATAAGGTCTTTGTGGATGTCATCAAATTAAGATGAGGTTATTATGGTAGTTCCTAAGCTGATATGACTAATGTCATAGGAGATTGTCACATGACACACAAGAATGCATGGTGATGACTGGGATGGAAACTGGAGCAAATCAGCTATAAGCACAAAGCCATCAGACTGAAGGCCATGACCAGAAGCTTGAGGAAGGATTCTCCCCTACAGATTTTACAGGAAGCATAGGCCAGCTATCGATTTTGGATTTCTAGTTTCCAGAACTATGAGACAGTACACTTATGCTATTTTAAGCTGCCTAATTTGTGATATATTAATGACAATTTTAGGAAATTAATACTCATTTAGGCTATTAAGTTTCTTGAAATGAAAGCCTATGTTTCATTAATTTTGCATCTCCAGTGTCCTCATAGCTTTTCAAATATAAAACAGAGTGCAGTAGACATTTGTTTAATGAATGAAAGATTCAAATTTGGTTTGCAGTCAGTTAAAACCTCATGTCCTTTTGGAGAGGTCTCCTCAATTCTTTTGGGTTTTACTGATGTTTTTTAAATCTAAAATCCAGCATTTTAAGAATCACACTGTAATACAAGTCCATCAATGTATTAACTATCCTACCTTTATGTCACTACAAACATGATAAACTTATCTTCTATCTAAACCTGACTCACTGATACAAAGAGATGTTAAACTTTTTTTTTTTTTTTTGACAGAGTTAGTGAGAGAGAGAGACAGAGAGAAAGGTCTTCCTTCCGTTGGTTCACCCCCAAATGGCCGCTGCGGCCGGCGCACCGCGCTGATCCGAAGGCAGGAGCCAGGTGCTTCCTTCTGGTCTCCCATGCGGGTACAGGGGCCCAAGCACTTGGGCCATCCTCCACTGCCTTCCCGGGCCACAGCAGAGAGCTGGACTGGAAGAGGAGCAACCGGGACTAGAACCTGGCGTCCATATGGGATGCCGGTCCCGCAGGCGGAGGATTAACCAAGTGAGCCATGGTGCTGGACCTGAAATGTTAAACTTGACAGCCACAGGCAGAGTACAATGGCCTGCCACCAAAAATATCCCCCCTAACTGACACTGACCTTAATCAACACTCTGCATATATCATAAAACCAATTAGAAACTGACATTCCTATTAACCTTTTCTGAAGATTATGATAGCAAAATGCTGTTAAATGCTTTGCAGAAATCCCGACAGTATATGTTTAAATTTCCCAAATCTATCATTCTAATAATCATGTAAAAAGATGTGGGGTTTGTTAGGCATGAATTGTTCTTGGAGAAATCATGATGCCTTTCGGGGATCAACTACTTCTTTTCCAAGTCCATACCACAAATTGCTGGAATTTTGCTGGGTGAGCAGTGTCCACATCCTCAATCTGAGGCTTGCAGAATCCACACTGGTCTACAGTTGGACAATAAGGACAGCCCTCTCCCTCCTTGCTTCTGCCTCCTCTTCCATACATCAGAGCTCCTCCTCCAAAATTAGAGATGGGCACTCCACACACCTATCTACAAATTCTTTTACCAGTGAGATCTCAATATCCAGACCTGACCCTGAATTAGGCTTTTTTTTTTTTTTAATATTTGAGATGCTGAGTTAGAGAGAGAGTGTGAGAGCAAGAGCGAGAGAACGAGCACTTCCATCTGCTGGTTCACTCCCCAAATGGTTGCAATGACAGGGGCTGGGCCAGGCCAAAGCCAGGAGCTTCCTCCAGGTCTCTCACTTGGGTGCAGGAGCCCAAGGACTCGGGCCATCCTCCACTGCTTTCCTAGGCTCATTAGCAGGGAGCTGGATTGGAGGTGGAGCAGCCAGGACTGAAGCAGCACCCACATGGGATGCTAGTGCTGCAGGCCATGGCTTTAACTCACTGAGCCACAATGCTTGCACCAAACTAGTTTTTAAAACCACTTGGCTCTGTCTCATCAATGTGGGCTTCAGGTTTGCTCATGGTCATTTGTTCTCTCCTTCTGGTCAGGTATCTGACCATTCTTCTTTTGCAGAGAAAAGCAAAATTGGATTTAGTACTGCAGTATTGCTACTACACAGGTTCTCTTTTTTGGTCACCTTCTTCCTAAAAGTATTTCACATAACTTCAAATCACACATTTCTGTGGAATTTTTTCCACAACTTCACACTACTTACTTTACTCTTTTGTATTTTATTTTTACTATTGATTTGAAAAGCTGAGACAGAGATCCAGCACCTTCTAGGATATTCCCCAGATGCCCACAATATCCAGTACTAGGGAACTGGATTCAGGGTTCCCAGGAGAGTGGCAGGGATCCAATTACTTGAGTCATCACTGTGGCCTCTCAGAGTGTGCATTAACAGGAAGCTGGAATCAGAAGCAGAGCCGGACTCAAGCCCAGGCACTCCAATGTGGGGTTGTAGGTGTTCCAGGCACTGTTCTAATGGCTGTGCCAAATGCCTGTCCCCTCTTTGATTTTGTAAATCTGAACCTCTCAAGTCCCATGGCAGCCATAACAAATGCTTCTGATGTCTACCCTTTTTGTTCCTCACTCTGACCATTGTTCTCTAACTAGGATTTTGATTGTATTTGTTTTTTCTTCTTTCTAAACAGTATTACTTTTTAGGGTTACAGTCCTTGCAGTTACATTACATTTTCTCTGCGTATTTAGAAATATGCTTTTAAAAACTCTAGTGTATGTAGACTGAATCCACTAGCTAGTCATTAGGGAATATTCTAAGCTATCAGCAATTATTTCCTTATCACTAAAAGACCAACATTTTATGAATGTTGCCAAAGAGGTGTAACTTGTATAAACTGTTTGAAACTCCTAAACTTTCACTACTCAGCCTATTTCATTTATCTGATGTCAACAAAGACCAAGTTTGTTTAAGAATCTTTCACAGGAAGGTTTCAACAAACCCTGCTTGTAGGAAATGTCCTTGTTTGCAAGCAGGAAAACAATGTTTCATCATCTCAGCTCACAGCCTAGTTGCTTCATGTACCCTAAGAGCGAACTCAACAGAGCCAGTCACTAAGGAGGCACGTAGACATCCACCATGAGAATTTAAAGGCAAACATATCATTGTCCAAATAAAACAAATCCTTTCAGATTATCACCTGTGCCTCCCTCAGGACTGACTACTCCTACAGTTCACATGTCCAAACCCCTATCTGTGTGCTGTCCTTTTTCTAGGACACTGTTGTGTGAGTGCAAAGATAATCTGTTGAGAAACAAGAAGAAAATGCAATAAATGCTAATAAATACAGCCAAAGTTTTGTGCCATTTGTTTCATATTCACAGTTTTTTTCATTATATACATTTAAGGTATAAAACGTGATGATTAAAATGCATGGGATTGAGTTACTACAATCACAAAAATTAACATATCAGATCTGTTACTTCTTTTTTTTTTTTTTGACAGGCAGAGTGGACAGAGAGAAAGGTCTTCCTTTGCCGTTGGTTCACCCTCCAATGGCTGGCGCGGCCAGCGTGCTGCGGCCGGCGCACTGCGCTGATCCGATGGCAGGAGCCAGGTGTTTCTCCTGGTCTCCCATGGGGTGCAGGGCCCAAGTACTTGGGCCATCCTCCACTGCACTCGCAGGCCACAGCAGAGAGCTGGCCTGGAAGGGGGGCAACTGGGACAGAATCCGGCGCCCTGACCGGGACTAGAACCCGGTGTGTTGGCGCCGCAAGGCGGAGGATTAGCCTAGTGAGCCGCGGCGCCGCCCCAGATCTGTTACTTTTTAAAAAATTACTCCTAAACATTTTTTTAAAAGAGGAATACACACAATGAATATATCCATTCTAATGAATTCTAATGAGGCACCCAAAGAAGGATACTACTTACCTTAAAAAAGTCAAGGCAAACTTCTCCACTGGGCTAAAGGCTAATTTTAATAGTACACATGTCGGGGAAAACATGTAGGAAACAGTCCCACGTTAGATACAACATCATCTAGATTTAGGGACAGAGTTATGCTCTGAGTCATTCCTGACTCTTGCCCCAATCAATAATTTTTGGTAATTTCTCCACTTCCAAAAGTTAAAGTGTTATCACTATTAACAGTGAATAGCATGGGGAAATGAGTTACGCATGCTGAAAACTTGTCCCTGATTGCAAACTGTAGCTATGAGGCTTTTACTCCTGCTGCAAGCAATTACACAAAAAAAATCAGGGCTAGGCGTCAAAGTCACATCTCTGTATATAAACACAGCAAACATTTCAGCTAGTTCTTCAGATGGGTTAGAGGGGAATGGGTCATTCTCTGCTGCTTTTCTCAGGCAATTAGCAGGGAGCTGGATCAAAAATGGAGTAGCCGGGACATGAACTGGTGCCCATATGGGATGCCAGTATCGCAGGTGGTGGCTTTACATGCTATGCCACAACGCCGTGTCCAACAACTCATCACCTGACATGGTACCTTTTGATGCTTGGAGAGGGAAAAACCCCCTTCCTCCATGGTGTCTAACACTGCCTGGCTAAGTACAGTGTTCTGCAACTTGTTCCCTGCAGTCACCTCAGGGGAAACTGGGTAAGACCAAAGGGCAGACTCTCCTCTCTGCACCTTCTGAGAGATTCTGTAGAAACACATATTTTTGTTTTTATCAGAAATTTAAAAGTGGAGATTTTTTTTATAGATTTTTAAAAGAGAATTTATTTTTCTCTTTATTTGAAAAGCAGTGTGTGTGTGTGGGGGGGGGGTATTCTCCATCAACTGGTTCACTCCCCAGCTGGCTGCAATGGCTAGGGTTGGGCCAAAGTCAGAGGCCTGGAACTTCATCTGGGTCTCCCACGTGGTTGGCAAGTACCCAGGTACTCAGGGCCATCTTCTGCTGCCTTCCCAGGTTCATCAGCAGGGAGCTGTAGCTGAAGTGGAGCAGCATGCATTTGAACTGGCATGACACTGCAATTGGTGGCTTTAACCCACTGTGCCATGCTGCCAACCCCACAAGTAGAGATACTTAAAGATGAAACCAATCCTTGATTGTGTTTTTGGACCACAAAGGTTCTCTTTCTTTATATAAAATTTTCTTATGCTCAAATATCAGCACACTGACACTGCAGTCTTTTGAAGGCAGGTTCAAATAGTACAGGTTGAATGCCCCTACTCCAAAAGGCTTAGAATCAGAAAGGTTTCAGATTTCACATTTTGGAATATTTGCAGAGTCTGCAATCCAAAACTCCAACATCCAAAACTTTCTGAACTCATTGGCACTCAAAGTTTTGGATTTCACTGCATGTCAGATTTCTGAGTTTTGGACTGGGGATACCCTATCTACATTTTAACATTCTGGAAATCAGAAGCTGAATCTTTCAAAGATAAGCTATTGGTAAACCTTGTAGGTATAAGGGTATTTTTTCCATATCATAGTTGATTACTGAAAACTATGAAATGTATATACACTATTATGATAGAGATTTTCTATTTCCATAAGTACAGTAGGCTGGATACTCTAAGAGCTTTCCTACAAAAACACAATTAAACTTGGGATAAATTAAAAATAATATGGTAGGATTGAGCAGAAAGTGACAGAAATTTCAGAGGGCAGAGAATGAGGAGAGGACAGAAGCAGATGAACATGAATGAGATGAAAGAAGGTGAGTCGATGGAGAGCTGTCATGAGAGACACGTGCCCACGGAGATGTGAAGCCTCAGGTGTCTTCAAGGTAAGAAGGCTGAAACCACTCTACCATGCCTGGGCAGGACATCAGGGACTAATGCAGCCCAGGTGAGCAAAACTTTTGTCCACCTAGTAAAATAGATCCCTAGTATGTTGAAATACATGAATGCAAACCATCTTTGGAGGAAAGCTCACCAGTTTAAGGCCTCTAAAATTCCTAGGAATTAAATTCAACAAAATATGAATTCACAACAAAAAGTTTCAAAACACAACATAATAAACAAACCACTACATGTACATGTTAAGTGTCAACAGAGAGGCTGGAGCTGTGACGTAGGGGGTGGGTAAAGCCACCGCCTGCAGTGTCGGCATCCCATATGGACACTGGTTCAAGTCCCGGCTGTTCCATTTCCAATCCAGCTCTCTGCTATGGCCTGGGAAAGCAGTGGAAGATGACCCAAGTCCTTGGGACCCTGCACCCACATGGGAGACCCAGAAGAAGCTCCTGGCTCCTGGCTTCAGATTGGCACAGTTCCAGCCATTGTGGCCAACTGGGGACTGAACAAGTGGATGGAAGACCCCCCCCCGCCCCCCGCCTCTCCTCTCTCTGTGTAACTCTGACTTTCAAACAAACAAACAAATATATATAAAAAGAGTCAACAGAACAACATATGTAAATGCCTAGGATGGTCATTTAGTCAAGTAGCAAAGACACCAGTTAGGATACCTGCGTTCTACACTGAAGCACTTGGTTCAATTCATGGTTCTGGCTCAAGTAATTGGGTTCCCACCACCCAAATGGGAGACCTGCATTAAGTACTAGGTTCAGCCTCACCCAGCCCTGACACAGCTCCATCCACCTGTACAGGAATTTGAGAACAGAACCAGATGGAATATCTACCTTCCACCCCTCAACAAAGTACGGCAAATAAAAATAAAACAAAGAATACAGGGCCGGCGCCGCGGCTCAATAGGCTAATCCTCCACCTAGTGGCACAGGCACACCGGGTTCTAGTCCCGGTCGGGGCACCGGATTCTGTCCCAGTTGCCCCCCTTCCAGGCCAGCTCTCTGCTGTGGCCCGGGAAGGCAGTGGAGGATGGCCCAAGTACTTGGGCCCTGCACCCCATGGGAGACCAGGAGAAACACCTGGCTCCTGCCTTCGGATCAGCGCGGTGCGCCGGCCGCAGCGTGCAAGCTGTGGCGGCCATTGGAGGGTGAACCAACGGCAAAAGGAAGACCTTTCTCGGTGTCTCTCTCTGTCACTATCCACTCTGCCTGTCAAAACAAAACAAAACAAAACAAAACAAAACAAAACAAAACAAAGAATACAAACAAACCTCCAGGACTTCACATACTGGAAATCTCAGACAAGCATATGGAATAACAATATAGGAAAAGTTGAAAAGATGCACAGTTGGGCCAGAAGCCAGTTGGAGTGTATGTGAGATTTGTCGATGTTGGAAGATTCTTCAAGCACTCATTATTTCAACCAATATGGATTTTCTTCTTTCTTCATAGTATGCAGATCAGGGATCCAAACTTATTGGAGAAGCTAAAGGCATCATTTGACCCCATTGGAATGGCAGGTTTTGCAGAGACTGTTGTATGTGGATTACACAAACTGGAAAGCAGAGGAAATACTAAGATGTCCCTGCACCTGATCCACATGTATGTGGCAGCTCAAGGCTTTGCTCTAGGAGCAATGAATCTTGGTATGGGCTATTCCATGTATCAGGAATTCTGAGTGAAACCTAAACTTCAGAAGGAGAGATGCTGGCTTGGCCTTGCTGGAGATGCTTCCTTTACTTAGACATCTCATAATGAGGTTACATGTTATGTCAAAAGTAAGTAATTTGAGTGGATTTAGAAAATAATTTTGAATACTGACCTTTTTTCTTTTAGGCTTGATTTGCCTGACTAGTGCACCACCAGGTCACTCAGGGGAGTCAAGTTAACACAATGTCACATTTTAATGCCCCCTTCTTAAACTCTTGTGATGAAATCAGTCCTACAGAACACAGCAGACCAACCTTGAAGTTACTCCCAGTTTGCTGCAGAATATCACATGCTTTGGGTGTTAGATAGGAGTCCTATTTACCTCAGTTAACTCACTTTTTTTTCTGCCTGCCTCATAAACTGGTTGAGTGTTCCAGTATTTAGAGCTGGTTGTCTCGAACTGTTTTTTAAAGTTCATGGACTGTACCTTGTACAGCCTCCCACAACTGAAGAGGTGTGTGCGTGTGCATGTGTGTGTGTGTTTAAACGAAAGCCCCAATTTGTTATATTTTTTTCTCTACGGACAGGCAGAGTGGACAGTGGACAGTGAGAGAGAGACAGAGAGAAAGGTCTTCCTTTGCCGTTGGTTCACCCTCCAATGGCCGCCGCTGCAGCCGGCGCACCGGCGCTGATCCGATGGCAGGGACCAGGGATCCAGGTGCTTTTCCTGGTCTCCCATGGGGTGCAGGGCCCAAGCACCTGGGCCATCCTCCACTGCACTCCCTGGCCATAGCAGAGAGCTGGCCTGGAAGAGGGGCAACCGGGACAGAATCCGGCGCCCCAACCGGGACTAGAACCCGGTGTGCCGGCGCCGCAAGGTGGAGGATTAGCCTAGTGAGCCACGCGTGAGTGACGTACTGTGTTAATTTTATATATCAAAGTGTCACTTTAACTGAGCTGATTATATAGATCTAGTTAGCTCTTTGTAATTGCAGTATTTATTTTTGCTGCTGTTATATTAGAGTAACTTTTAAATATCATCTTGAAATAAACATGTTTTTGACTGCTAATACAAAGGTAAATTAACACTTTTAAAATGTGTGCAGTTTTTTAAAATTATTTTCTGTGTAAAATTCATAAATTTTAAATTACCCTCAGTGGAAGTGATTAATAGTTTATAAGCAAGCTGGTTTGTGAGACATTATACACAAACTCTGATATACCATGAATACGTTATTGTACTTGTGAAATTCTCTTGCCTAATCTAAACTTACATTCCACGGTGATATTAAGGTCTACATATTTTTATTTAAAGTGAACACACTGAAAAAATGTTGATAAAAATAAAAGATCGAATTTCAAAATATGGATCAAAACAAGAGACTAACAAAATAACCAGACAGATTTTAAAAAGAACCAAACAGACCTCCTGGAAAAATATAATTATAGAAATTTAAAACACAGTGAATGAGTTAAACAGCGCATTAGACACAGCTAAAGAGCATTCATGAACTAAAACAAAACACAGTAATTACATGTATTCTAAATTCTTTGCTGTTAGGAAAAAGAGTCAGAGGCTGTTTCTAAAGTATGTATGGTGAGTCAGTGGTGTGTTCAGGCTCTGCCTGGAGCTCCAACATCCCATATGGGTGCTGGTTCAAGTCCAAAATGCTCCATCTCCAATCCAGCTTCCTGATAATGGCCTGGGAAAGCAGCGGAAGATGACCCAAGTGCTTGGGTCCCTGTACTCCAGTGAAAGACCTGGAAGAAGCTCCTGGCTCCAGTTCAGGCCATTGTAGCCATTTGGGGAGTGAACCAGCGGATCGAAGATATAACCTCCCCCCAACTCTGCCTTTCAATAATAAATAAATAAGTCCCTTTTTTTTAAAAAAAGAAAATTTTCCAATTAAAATAAGAGTACTAGATTGGAATTTTTAAAATTCCAGTTACATAGTTTATCACTGAGATACATCAAATCAAAAGAATGTGAAAAATATTGGAAGTAGATGGATGGAGAAAGAACCACTAGGCAAATACAAATAACAAATAAAGACAACCAAGCAGATGCTAATAATAATAATAATTAAACAAGCCAGATAACTTCTAATAAAAAAGAAAACAGAGGTGGTTATATTAATATGATATAACAGAGTTTAAGGATAAAAGTCTAATAAGAGCTATTACTACTACATAATAACTTTGTTATTAATAAATTATTACAAATGTACAGATTCTA